TATATATATATATATATATATATATATATATGTATGTATATTTTATTTATTTATTTATTACATATATATCATACCGGTATATCACCTTTATTGTTTTTTAACGAAGAACAAAGAAAAGGCTTCCTCAGCTTTCACTTCCTTCAGTCTCATTTAATAGCAATAAGGAGAGTAATGTGGATTAACATGGCTCCCATTTATTGGCTTGTTTGTGTGTTTACTCATGTATGGCAGGCCTGTTTTCCCCGCCCCCGCTGGCTGTCATAATGTTGGCCCGTTACACCACCACCATCATCATGTCAATGGGGAAGTTTACACATGAGCCCATACGAATTCAGCCTTCTTGATTGCAAGTGCATCAGTACATTATGCAGATGAGTGCGGGTAAAACAAGCCTGAGATCTGGCTTAGCTTTGCATGCCGTTTGGGACAGGGACATGAGTCATTTCTCTTCAGAGACAGAAAGTATTAGTAGGCATTTAAAAAGGTTTAGAAACACTTCCAATTGGCATAATTTTACATTTAAGGTTTTTCACACACTACAGTACATCTTTTCACTCACTCCCACATTAGGTTGAAGAGTCGACAATTTTTGTCTTCACAGAGATGAACTTTTGTCATTTTGACACTATTACAGTGATATACAGGAAATATCCATCCATCCAGCCCTTATCTGATCTGCTTATCCTCACGAGGGTCGTGGGTATGCTGCAGTGGAGCCTATCCCAGCTGTCTTCGAATCACAGGGCACATACATAGACAAACAACCATTCGCGCTCACAATCACATCGAGGGACAATTTAGAGTGTTCAGTCAACCTACCCTGCGTGTTTTTGGAATGTGGGAGTAAACTGGAGTACCCGGAGAACACTCACTCAGGCACGGGGAGAACATGCGAACTCCACACAGGTAGCCCAAGGCCGGGATCAAACCCAGGACATCTGCACTGTGAGGGTAGATGTACTAACCAGTCACCCACAGTAAATATAACATTTGTTAAATTCTCAATCAATTATTTACTTGTAATTTACAGAACTGCACAGTATAATATTGAGCTTTGTGTTGAGTTGTCACATTTTTATAAAACAAAAATGGCAATAAAACAAGACAGTATAGCATCCATGCTCCTTCATTCATGCTTGATTTAAAACAAAACATTATTGGCTTTTTTGAAGTGAGACACGTTTATACGGTTACACCCAATCAAGTGTCGAGTGAATAATATTGCAAAGATTACCAACATAAATGTTCAATACAAAGAGTAATGATTTCCATTTATAGTGTCAAATCCACATTGTAGATGCCCATGAAACTTACATCGTCATAAAAAAAAAAAAAAAACAAAAACAGTGTGATCTCTCATGCTGGATAGATTAATAATGAAGAAAATCTAAACATAAATAAAGGGACATTTTCCTGATCAAGCGATGTGAAATGTGGAAAAATATTTGTATGTAATGGTAATCTGTTCTCAGAGCACTTACTGTAAGTATTTGCAATTTGAGTTTAAACTAGCATGCCATTTGTCGAAAACAAAATGCCGAATGTCTACAAACCAACAGCAAGCGCCGACGAACTGGGCTTGTGCAGACAAATGCATGCATATACTGCATGTATGCACTTGTCAATGCTTCCGCTTATCTACCATCTCTGCATTAATGTATGTGTTTAGAGACTCCCCAAATCTATATGGAACCAGTATCATCGACAGTCATCTCTATTACCAGTGGCAAAAGTAATACATATGTGCCATGTATGCGGCTCTTTGGCTGGTTCAATGCGGCTTTCACATGACACGCATCGAAAACGCCTCGGCAGTAGCGCTGCCATTCAAACAATGGCGCTAAATACACACAACTAACTACGTCAGCCTATCATCAATCCCGTTACTTGATTGACATAAAAGGCAACCAATCAGATGACAACTGAATCACCGGATTGACATACAGGGCAACCAATCAGATGACAACTGAATCACCACTCATACGCAAACAATGGTGCTTAGCGCTAAGCGCTAAGCTAGTCAGCTTTAAAGGTAGGGGTGCCCAATACATCAATGCGATCGACCCGGAGCCAGCGGACTGGTCCCAAGTCAAGCGTTGGGAGGAGGCGTTTGGAGGGGGGAGGCATAAGGTGGGGGGGGCATAGTTAGTGTGTTTCGATTTCGCTCGTCTTCAGTGAAGTTCCGGCTTTCGCTCGTCTCGGTGTCTGTGCGTGCCTGCGTATGTGTTTTATAGACCAGGGGTTGGCTACCCCTGGTCTATAAAATATTTTCTTATGTCTAGTAAATCATTCTTTTTTTCCCCACAAAAGTAAGATGATGTTTTTGGTCAGCAGTGTTTTTTAACTGAAGCGAGAGAGGCCTGCATTTCTCTACATGTTGTCCTGGGCTCCTTTGTGACCTCCTGGATGAGTTGTCGCTGTGCTCTTCGGGTCATTTCTGATGGCCGGCTGTTTACCACAGTTCTTGTTTTTTCTTATCAGTGGATATTCACTTGAACCATAGTTTGATGGTGTCCAAAAGCTTTAGGGATGGCTTTTGACCGTTTCTGGACTGACTGATTCCTCTTACTTTATTTCTCACCTGTTCTTGAATATTTTTGGATCGTGGCATTTGGTTGCAGTTTCTTGAGATCTTTATGCCAACTTCATTTTGCCGGACAGGTTTTTTTTTTTTTTAAATGTGTTCTTGATTGAAAAGGTCTGGAAATAATCAGACTTGTGTTGGGTGTGGTCAGTAAATATTAACTCAGCTTTCTGAAAAAATGTGATTGATGAGCCAGTGAATACATGACTTAATAAAGAGGGAAATGACATTTTCACCCAGGGCCAAGTAAATGTTAATAAGAATTTGAGAAGGAGGCAAATACTTTTTCATAGCACATACACATAGGCCAGGGATGAACAAACAAAACATTGTCAGTACCCAGTGCATGTTTTCATGTTGCGTGTGTTTTAGAGTGTCCGGTTTCGGTTGGCGGGATAATCTGAGCAGAATTAGGGCTGAGGTTGGGACAGATGCCACAGGGCTTGCATGCCTGGTGTCACGTGATGTAAGCACTGAGGGAATATTCTTCCTCACCAGGGAATTATGGTTTACATGTACTGCAAACATATTAGTCACTGTACACCGTCATGTCAAACGCCCCTGAAGTCATTCAAGTTTGAATTAAATCAAAGCTTTCTCGCACTACTACTGGCTGTCTTCTCTGTGTGAAACCTCAGTCGCCTTTCAACACCCAATTTTATCAAATATCTGGTGTCATTTTCTTCAGCTTTTCGGGGCTTTCTTGGCATGTATATTCCAACAAAAAGACCAGTGTCATCAAGAGGCATTAAAAGAACAGAAAGGAAGAGGAACAAATACACGTACCTGTCACGATAGTTATTATATTGACAAGACAAAATGGACACGATACTTTTATCGGACTCGATAAATGGTCATTCACATCTGTGTTTGTTTAAATACGATCAGCAATATTCACCTGCGCTGCTTCACTGTCTCCTCTGTTTCTCACACACACACGCACGCACGTTTATTAAAAACGGGGATTATGTTGCGGTGTTACTTTTTCCACATAGCCAGAGTGACACCGTTGTTTATTTGAGCAGTCAGCGCAACAGGTGGATAAATTATCACAATTATCATGTAGCTTAATGGGCCACCGTGACTCTAGTCACTTGGCGCAATGCTGTTGAGAACAAACGGGTAAGTTTCAACTTGTGTCACAAACCATCCACACACTTACAATTTAAAAACACCCAAATCAACTTGGCACAGGGAATAAAAGTGGTATTTCATGGTCCACACACTTACAATTTAAAAACACCCAAATCAACTGGGAATAAAAGTGGTATTTCATGGCGAGGTATGTGACCACGTATCACGATACGTGGTCACATATCATCAGTGTTGTATATTAATTACTGTGTGCGAGGGATGTGGGTGAGGGGAATGAGGTTTGAAGCTACTGTTGCAAATGTTGCTTTTATAAGCTTAATTTTTCTTCTTTTTCCCATTTCATATGTTATTTCAACAACAACTTTATTAGTGAGCAAATCTTTACTAGATATCAAGCTTTGTGAGGTGATTCGAAAACAGCAATTGTTTCACATGGCCTTCAATCCATCCATCCATCCATTACTCCATACATCCATTGCAGTGATTTCCAACCTTGATTGAGCCAAGGCACACATTTGTTCGGCAAATATCACGTTATTTTGAACAATGCTAAGGGTATTCGAATGGTCACAAACCAATGGGCTCACTTCCGATTCAGTGACAGTGTGAGTGTGAATTGTATTTGTTTTTTGTCCAAAGTCAGCTGGGATAAGCTCCAGCTCCCTTTGACCCTGAAATTGGCGAAGGAGTCGAAAACATGGAAGCACAGATGAATGGTTGGATAAAACATCCATCCATCCATCCATCCATCCATTTTCTGATCCGCTTATCCTCACAAGGGTCGCGGGGGGTGCTGGAGCCTATCCCAACCGTCTCCGGGCAGTAGGGAGGGGACACCCTGAACCGGTTGCCAGCCAATCGCAGGGCACACACAGACGAACAACCATCCACGCTCACACTCACACCTAGGGACAATTTTGAGAGTTCAATCAGCCTGCCATGCATGTTTTTGGAATGTGGGAGGAAACCGGAGAACCCAGAGAAAACCCACGCAGGCCCGGGTGAACATGCAAACTCCACACAGGGAGGCCGGAGATGGAATTGACTTGAAGTGCCTCTGCACTGTGAGGTCAATGCGCTAACCACTGGACCACCGGGCCGCCTGGATAAAACATTGCATGCACAATTAATTATGGTTCATTCTCCTACGTGGGACAAATAATTGGGGTGGGGAGACTGAAGAGCTGTGTTGAAGCTACAGGCTACTGTTCATGTACTTGTACTGTATTTCATGACACTGTATCGACATCTGTGTTTATGTTCTTGACATATCAGTGCAGCTCCTTTATGGACCAAACGTGAAATTAAGTCGGCGTTACGGTTTTATTTTTGGAGCACTGAGCCTGCACACTTGTCACTACACTTTGGGGTTCATTAAAATTTGTGTGGAGTCCTCCCACTTTGAAAGTGACTTTTCCACTTCATTGCAGTCATTGTGGTATTGATGGGCCCAGCATGGTCGTGACGAGCACATCATAAAACCCCAAACTGATGCGGGGAGACAATAATGTGTGGCCACGGCCCTGGCCCTGCCCGCAGCCCTGGCACACTGTGAGACAGACCCTCTGTCCTTCCTCAAGAGCTCAACCAGCCACAAAACGGCGGCTTAGAGAACACAGCACCAAGAAAAGGCACAATACACGGGCACCTCCAAATGTCAGTTTGCACCTTTGCAACCCTCCTATGTTCATTTGGAAGCATGCATGAGAATATTTTCGAAAGTACTCACCCGCAGCTGGTTTCCAAAAGACTGTCTCCAACCTGAAGAGAAGCCATACCAAAATCTGCTATCCTGATGTTATTCTTTTCATCGAGCAACAGGTTCTCTGGCTTCAGATCCCTGTGGCTGAAACAAGACAGACGGAAGCATGCCGAAGTTAATGAGACATGAACACAATTCACAGGCGTTCTACAAAGTAAGTAAAGGTGAAGGGATGAAGGCGGTTGAACAAACACCAGAGGGTCACGTCCATTCTTGCAACTCAGCACCCTCACCCTTTAGCGCACGGACCCCTGCTTGCTGCATCACCTGCTCCTTTCATTTAACTCATGTACAAACCAGAGGCTCCCACCTCAAGGCCGGAGTGCTACACAGTGTGACAGCCCCCTACTGTGCCCTTTTCTTCTTCCATTTCCCTTCCCACTCCTCCAGGAATCCCATTCCTTTCATCTCGCAGACAGCCATCAGCAAACTGGCCGAGTAAAGCACACCAAGGGGAGCCTGCCACAGAGGTGAAGTTCATTAGCTGCCATTTATTATCACTAAACACAGCAAGGGGGTCCTATTACCTTCAATGAAAGAGCCCACCGGAAAAAAAGACCAAAAAAAAAAAAAAAAGATTGTCCTGCTTGTGTTATTGCATTTCTGTGTTCAATTGGACAGCTGTTTAAAGAGTCAAGCTATTACAAGAATTACTGTACATTATAAAGGGCCCAAGAACCCTGCCTTATTAGCAGAGGCAAATGCTGAAAACCAGCTTTAACATTAACATTTATACCTAATCCGTCATTCGTACCTACAAATGAAGGATTTTAATTTGAAGAATTAAATGTTCAGGATGGAGCGAGCCTCTGAGTAGCAAATGTGCCATCCTACAATTGTTTACGAAGAGGTTTTCGTCACCATTAGGTTGTACAGACCTTGAGGATAACACATACTGACTTAAAAGCAAGCGCACTCAGGTTTTTGAACTTATGTCGTAGTGTACGCGAGGGTTCTTCTGGATATAAAACGTCTACAATATTAGCGGTTTAAATATTGCAAAAATTACACTGTCGGGAAGTGATGTATTCTGTCATTCATTGCCTCGCACCAGAACTACGCACGTTGTTCTGCATGAATAACAAAGTTGGCGAGGGAGAGAAAACATGACCTGAATATTTTTTCCAGTTCAAACTGTGTAATTTATACAACTGCACTAGATTTCCACGGTGTTTACATTTGAATGGAAAAGAAGGGTGGCCGAAAAAAAAAAATCAATAAAAAGGCTGTTGTTGTGAAGCAGCGTTCACAAATATATTGCTCAGTATTGATTTACCATTTTAACTATAATGTCAGAAATACTGTGATGTTATTTTGAGGCTATATCGCCCACCCCGAGCGTACACCATCTTTCACTGAACTATATCCTATTGAGTGGCATATGACAGATAGGTAGCCTCATAGGTAGCCTTTTCAGCAAACAAGAGCCAAGCTCAGTTAAGAATTAAGTGGTCTATCCTTCTAGAATGATATAACCTGCAGAAATGTATCCCGTTACGTTTTTTTAGAAAATGCATAAAACTCAATGCTTAGTTGTCTGCCTTTTGGTTGACGGTACAGAGACAGTCAGCAAGAGAGAGTAGGGAGAGAGCTTTCTATATTGTATCATTATTCAGGTTACTATTTTAAGTCAATATTTTTAGATTTTGTTATCTTTCTATCTTCTCATTTGAAACCATGCAATCACTCTAAACTCTAAACTGGGCATGACAGGACTACATGGTTTACTAGTTGCAAAATGTCACTATATGATGAGGAGATGAACCAAGGAAGAGGAGGAGACTGTTGGTTTACTCCAGAAACATGCATTCTGTCAATATGTATGTTGAGGGGTTGCTGTATAAACGGAAGTTGGCAGTGGCTTCTGTGCTGCACTTATCAGGTATCGTTAACTCGCAGACAACCTGCACATGGTTTGGGAGTGGCAACCCACCCCAACCCTCCGCTGGTCGATGCACAGCTCCCCTCCACCCCCTCCAACCTTTACACTTTTGGCAAAGAGACGGAAATGTACAGAAATTCATCAGAATGTCACCAAGTATACTTTCACCGCTTGAAACAAATGATGTCGGAAGGAGAACATCTGTACACATTTGCCTTTGGACATTGCAACATCACAGCAGACATTTAACCTCATATGGCATCAGATGCTGTGCAGCTTGTTCCCTATCCTGAGGGATTAGCTGTCAGGTGGTTTTGCATCACATTGGCACGCTGTAGCCGCTTTCATACTGCATTCAGTGTAAATTGGCTTATTGTGCAATTTACTCGCTTGTCCCTTTCAGACATAAAGGGGGAAGTCAAGTCAAAAATGTTCTGTACAATAATAGCTTGCGAACGTCACATGACAACATGCAGAAAACGGGTGAGCCGTAATAGGTCGTCACCTGAGCCCTTTGGCACTGTGATGTCATTTTCCTTCGACAGCAAGTGGAAGCAGTCCCAGCAGAGATTGATACTGTGGAGAACTCTTTTGATGTGACTATATGATATCAATCTGGATCTTGACATCTTAAGAATAGGCTAGAATAGAAAGGAAACTAATGTTGTGTACTATAGTATGATGACAATTATGTCATATTAACATTGGGGTAGAACTGTATTTTGACTGTAGAGAATGCAACTATCATGACCGGCGAAAGAAAATGTGTTTAAAAAAAAAAAAAAAAAAAAAGAAAACAGGGTTGTCAAACTGTGGCCTGCAGGCCACTTACAGCCTGCTACATAATTTCAAGCACCACAACGTGTCCTGTAACTTTTGTTGCATCACTTGGCCATTTTTCCCTCATACGGGTTATTTGTATGAGAAAAGTAAAATAAACAATTGAATAGAGTTAAACTGTATTTTTAAATCATTTGTATTTCTTTGTGTAACGATAACTGGTTAATTGGTTAATTATAAATAACAGAATTAAAATTACAATTACAAGAAAACATATTTAGTTTTAATATGTACTTTGTATTAATTTCATCAAATAACTGGTGTGGTAATTTAATTAAAATTAATTAATAATAATTATAATAAAACCTTGTCCATCTTGTCTGTTTCAAAAATCAAATCCTCAAGCACTACAAGCCTGATTTAATAATTTTTTTCTGCAAAATTTCCACTGGTTTGAATTTTGGCTAATAGATTTCTGTTTGTTTGTTTTCTCCTCTCTTAACAGTATTTATCATAAAACTTCCTTGCTTGGTGGCTTAAGTTTATCCCTTAAGAGCCTACAGTGACACCAGTGTAACAAACACTTTGAACTCCCCAGTTTCTTTGTTTTAAAACTTTATGTGACTTTATAATAGCTTTGATGGCTGTATTGCCCAAGAGGGTGGCCAAAGTTCTTTGGTGTTTAACAATACATCAAATAGCTCATGAATTTCTAAGTACTCTCTGACCATCCGTTCAAGATACAAACAAGCACACTAAATTGTGATCTGAAAGACCCGTAAACATTGCTTTATTCAGCGTGGGATCACAGCTCAAACATACGCGAAACCGAAATAGCCTCAAGAGGTGCATCCAAACAAGTAACATGACACAAATGAAATCATTTACTGACAGTGTCAGAGAACAAAGTGCATCACAAGGGATGTAGAATTATTGGTTGGTGGGTATCTATAATGTGATAATGTGATGAAGTGTCTCCCTAATGAGACATTAAAGTGTCACAACAGCACCTTCCTCCTGTAATCTCAGCTATACAGCAAGCCTTGCACAAATATGCTGTTTTAGCTTGATGTAAAACTCTTGACTGCTTACTCTGTTGCCTACCAGAAATATGTAAGCTGGTAGCCTACTCGAAAAGACTGAATGAATGAAATATGATGGTAAGAAACTAAACACAGCACAGGAAAAAAAGAAAACATCAATATTATTCATGTTTGATGGTGGTTGAATTCAATAACAGCTCTATGGTGAGTTGTACCAGTTGTATGTGTTGTATATCTGCATGCTGTCTCAGCAAGGTTAACATCACAGCTAATCTGCCATAATTCTTACATTCTAAGACCAAGTGGCTGTGATCACGTGCATGCACACACCATTTTGTACTGGCCTCGTCCTCATGGAGATCATTCAACTAAATAGTTCTGCCATACTTGTGATTTTTCCGCACTATAAGGTGCTTCGGAGTATAAGGCCTATTTTAAAACTGTTTTTAGATATAGCACGCACTGCATTATAAGGCGCATAAAATAGAACCTTTAATAGTGGCTGAGGTTGCACAATGCATTCACTAGATAAAATACACTACAATACAGCGCTCTCTCTCTCTCTCTCTCTCTCTCTCTCTCTCTCTCTCTCTCTCTCTTGCTCTTTATATATATGTAGCGCTTTCACAACCGCTGCAGCGGTATCAATGCTCTTTACAGAACATTTAAAAGACTATGTCCATGAAATCAGAATATTGATCCATATATTATATAAGGCACATCAGATGATAAGGTTTACTTGCAGCTTTTGAGAAAATTGAATGCTTTTAGGTGCACAATATGGTGTGTAAAATATGCTATAATTATAATTTCCAAAATGTTTGTTCCTCATCCAAAAGCAAGTCATATTCGTGTATTTGACAAATTTTGCAATTATAGTTGCCTTTTTTTTTTTGAATCAGATAAAGTTGAAGTTGTATTCTGAGCTGCGTGCATCATCAGTAATACAGTATCACTTGAAGCTAACACTAAAAGCTGAAACCATGCTGTTACCATTACCATACTCGAGTGGAGCTTTTAACATCATTATGACTTGAAATGCACCCTTTCAGCCTACAGCACATCTTTCTGTCATCCTTCTGAATTTATCTTTAATTTCCTTCTCAAAGAGTTTAGGTTTCTTTTGACCCAATTAAAAACGTGCTCTCCAAAAAGGCTGTGGGCTCTGCTTCAATCAGTTGCTGAGAACCAGCCCGGAATTTCATTCCTTGCAATAGTGCAGGTAGACAGGAAGATTTGTCGTATCATACATAGTCAAATATCAAGAGCATTAAATACAGTCAGAAATGTATTGAAATATGAATGCACACATAAATAATTACAGTAAATCTCCATGAATAAACTTGCAGAAAAAAGGACAGTGGCTGAATGCACGTCAG